TACAATGCCGAGAAAGGAAGATAAAGCAAAAGAGAAAGAGGACAGAGAAATTGATACATAGAGAAAAATAGAGAAATTGATACATAGATTAAAATGTAAAGAAAGATAAATGTTGAAAGAGGTAAGCACTCACAGACTCATACACGAATAGTAAAGTCAATGAAATTATTGTGACGTATGGAAAAAATCCAGATTAACTGACATTTTCATCATAAATTTCCAGTTGTGGGCAGCCTGTGAATCTATCATTTCGATATGAAACTGTAAAGTGTTTTACATTCTCTGTTCAGGTATTTGTCCATGAGATATAACCATGAGTTCTTTAAGTATTGTCTACCAATAATTGGCAAAATTCGTTTCATTACATTTTGAAAAATACAGAATGGTAAATACCAAACACCTATATTTTTTTTATTGGACAAACCGGATGAGTTACCGTTGATTTCTAAATCCTGTGGTGATGGCCATCTCATTTGCCTTGTGTATTTTTTTCTTCCATTTTTGTTTATTTTGTGACTTACAAGGCTTTTGAAGAGTGCACCTACAGGTTGTCTGATGATCATGAACTCTTTATACAAAATTAGGATAACATGTGATTGAGAATTTCCAAATCATCTCTCCTCGTAACAATTAATAATCCATATGTATAGTGACCTGATCATTTGATAATAATGATAATAACATTGGGATCTGTTTGATTATGTCGAATAACCGATAATTTCCTGTACAACAGAACAGGCTGAAGATTTTAAGTAATTGTGGGTACAACATAAAGGGTTTCTAATTAAGATTATTATGGAACATGAGTGGTTTATCTTTCTCTGTCTCTGTCTCTTTCTTTCTCTCCCTTCTCTCTCTGTATCAATCTGCCAATCTCTTCTCATATGTAAAATAATGCTTTCCTCTAAATCATGTTCATTCCAGTATATAATTTATTTTTTTCTGAACACTGATACATATATATATTTCTTTCCTTTACTATGTAGAATGAAAATAAATATCTGTTAGTGTATGTATTACTGATGCATTTCTTTTAACCTTATAGTACAAAAATCGTTAAAATAATGCTGAACGATTAGTCATTTTTCTATTGTTGACATCATATTAATGAATAATGAACTAATAAAGTAGTAAATTGAGTATATAGATAAGAAAATATGAATAGTTCTCATGAATTTAATAACCTCATTTTTATTAATAATCAATCTGCCATGTGGTTTACATACAACTTTTTCTCTGTTATGCAGGGTGTTCTTTCCAGTTATTCCATTAATATCACAACATTAAAATATCATCATTTTTTTTCCAAATAAAGGTGCATAAAACAAACGTATATAATCTGTGGAGACTTTATTATGACTCGCTATACACACAAATAGTATAATTTACGTCAAATAGTAGATACAGAATATACACACTCTGGGTGAACTATCTGCCATTGAATTATCATGGCTCAAGGAACCCAAAAGGCAAAATTAAATCACATTTGTAATACACTCAAATCCGCCAGCGTTGTTATGGTGAATTTCGCCATCATTTAAAATAGCTATTATTATTAATTATCATCATGATACTATGAACACACTCTACCCCCTTTGGGTGACTCCTTTGCAATGCAGGGATTACATATGCACGAAAGTAAGCCTCAGATATATCCTGTAGGATAAGGTATGCGGACACACCATTGCCTGTATTGAACCTGTTGGGTATTGGTTTTACGAGACAACAGAATGATTAACCAAATGAAAATCTGGATAACAGCTGTTGCACATATCTGAGTTGACAAAATGAGAAAGCATTGGGTGTATATACCTATATGCATATATATATATATACATATATATACACATACATACATATATATACACTACATACATATATATATACATATACATATATATACATACATACATACATATATACATACATACATATATATATATAATACATACATATACATATATATACATACATACACATATACATACATACATACATATACATATACATATACATATATATATATATATATATATATATATATATATATATATATATATATATATATATATATATATATATATATATATAAACACTCACGATGCCTTTTACAAGTGGGAGTCTGGGGCGGTGCCTGTTTTAGACCTGTTCCTACAAATGGACGGGAAATTTGTATTGAATGATGATTAAACCACTTTTGATTATTGATTACTTATTATATCCAAAAAATATGTGGAAGAAAATGAAATATAACCCATTTACATTCTTCATTGCTCACACACATTGTGTGTATGTACAAATATGTGTGTGTGTGTGTGTGTGTGTGTGTGTGTGTGTGTGTGTGTGTGTGTGTGTGTGTGTGTGTGTGTGTGTGTGTGTGTGTGTGTGTGTGTGTGTGTGTGTGTGTGTGTGTGTGTGTGTGTGTGCATATACATATATATATGCATAATACACAGTCTGTTCTGGCATACGCGCGTGAACAAGAACGTTTTGAACCGACTTTAAAACGGGCTAAACACCTTTGGCTCTCTTAGATGTTTGAGCATTACAAAGACATTTGATGTCTGTACTATTTTGTGATCTAGTTTATTCTTCTAATATTTACACCTTGCCTTTTGGGTGTGTCAGAGAGACTAACTACAATAGCAAAATAAAATCTTTTGTACATATCTTCTCCAATCATAGGCGGTTCAGTTGTGTATATTTAGTGTAAGACCTGACAGCTGGATGGGGGAAATACAGCCTCTCTTGTTGACGGATCCCGGCATGTTGGATTTTTGTGGTGGCAATGCCTTTTACTTTCCTCTACACTAAAACACCAAAACGTGTGCAGTCGTACACCAACACACTGTTACAGTTGACAAGTGATTATAGTGACATGTAATCAGGGATGTTGACGGACAAGCTGGTCGCCGCGCCGTACATCGTACACACAGTAACACACCTATATTGGAACGCAACATTTGGGGAGGTAAACCATGCCACGCTACTTCTCTCTCGCGAACGGCGCTGAACGGCATCCAGGACGCTTCGCTGGACTTCCTGAGCCGTCACTCAGTAAACAGCAGACTCGTAAGCTTGGCTTTGAGAGCCTGTGTCCACCGCCTGCCCGTCCCGAGGCTGAGAGTAGGTCGAGAACCTTTACCGACTGTAAGGATCACCGGCGAAGTGGCACGGTTCGTTCGGGTACGCTAAAGAAAACCGAATCTTGATCAGGATGACTACGAAATGAAGTGCACTGGCGGAGAGTGAAATCACCAAAAAATCATAGACGAATTCTGACAGCCAGCCAGGAAACTCATGCCAAATTGAACGAAATGACACGCGAACTGGCGGAACGGCGGGCCAACATCCCTTGACAAACTGACCAAGACGTTTTCTCGAACCACCCACACTTTTTATCACATGTCAGTCCTTGATGGCTCCAGCAGAGAAACACCGTGTATCATATATGCTCAAAATAACTATAACACATAATTCAAACCTGGAATAAACAGAGCCTACGGGATTGACATATGACGGATACAAAGAGTTACAGACGTACTGATATGATGGTGAAGGTGCAGCGGACGCCATTCACAAGACAACGCCAGGATAACTTCTTTAAGACTTTGTGGGAGCCGCCACGACAGGCGACGACGCAGTTTCCTCACCGGTTACCAGACTACAATATATTGGTGGGTTGACGTGACTTGTGTGCTATTAACATGGGGAAGGCAGGTCACAAGCTTTCCATCACAACGAAAGCAGTTATTAGTAGTAGCACAAAATTTTATTCAACTGTGCTGCGTGTATGTAATGGTGATGAAATACTACTTGAAAGAGTGTGTAATCAACTATTACTTGGAATTCGGACTAACCGTCATAACTTAAGAGAGTTCCCATGGAGGAAATTCCTAGGCTTTGAGATAATGATTCTCCCAAAATGGAATAGTAGAACGACCACTACCAACATGATAATCTATGGTCAGCATCATACATCTCATCGGCTCGCATAACGTATGCGTTCTCTCCCCAAGTATCAGCATCACTCGCGACTATATATAAAAAAAAACATTGGAAAAGTTACTATTGTTGAGCGTGAGATCCTGGCTGGACGACCAGGTTGTCATCCTGGGTTACCATGCCAACAGTCGCCCCGTGCACTCTGGGGACACACCATCACTGCAGCGAAACACGAGGATCGGGCAAGAGGAGACGATAAAGAAAGGGAAACACAAGATTTGCACGAATTAAAGACTCTCCTCATTACCACACATTCGCCCCGGATGACCAGGTAATTATATAATAGAGTAAAATATGTTCATTATAAAAATTTAGGAATGACTAAATCTTCGGGCATGCAGCTGCGCGTGCCCTAACAAACTTAAAATTAAATATTTGGTATGGGAAGCTGAGGTGTAATGTGTCCATCTCAACAAGCACAATAAGGTGAAATACATATCAAATATCTGCCTGTAAATGCAGCATGGGTGGCTCAGAGTATGAAATAAACTAGAATAAATGCTTAAACAACTTGTCTTTTCTTGACAGAGGTGCATGCGCTCAGCAGCACTTGTCTCGCAGGCCGAAAGTCGTTCTTTTCCCTTTGGTAACACACTGAAGCAAATCAGAAGTTGTACACTAAAGACATAACTTTGGTATCAGTACAAGCACCTGACCAATGCTGATCCCAAACAGATGTACACATCTCTGGCCTGACTTATCCATGAACAACTGTACATTTCTGACCTGCGTGAGTGTTAGGACAATAGGAAATGTACCTCAGCAAATCATTGAATAAAAAAATGACATAACATAAAAAATATACGAAATCCTCTGGAGGCTACAAATCGCGTGTAGGTCCGAGGGCTGGGCTTGTTCTCTTTCATATCTCTTCGGTTTTGAACGATTTTTAAGAAGCCAATTCCACCCACTCCATCACCAAGAAGGTACTGGGTATGCCAAAGATCTGCAGTCTGCGTTCTCGCTTCTCATCCTTGACGCCAAACTTCACGCTGGCCCCGAGGGTTCCTGTGACCTGTAGGTGTTCCGCGGTCACTCCAACACCTGGACAAGTAAGACAACACGATGACCTGTGCTGGTCTTTGTTCACACGGCGGAGACCTGGCCGGTGCCCAGGTCCTTCAGCAGGTTCTGCAATCTGATGATCTCTTTGCTGGCGTTGCTGAGTTCTCCGCCCAGCTTCAGCTCCTTCTCCTTTAGCTTCTTGATTTCTCTCTGGCATGTCTGCGGAAGGAGGGAAATGCTGTCAGTTATCTGGGCCATTTTAGGGGTTAAATGTAACGAAAAAAATAAATGGATAATAAAAAAACTTGCAAATGTGTATCAGATACTTCGCATCTGAAGATTAAAGTTTAAACTCACCACATTCTGGCGCAGGAGATCCAGCTTGTCACACTTGAGCTTGTTGATCTCGTGCTTGAGGGTGTCCACCTGCCGAAGGATCGTCTCCGGGTCGGCGTGGAGGGCGCACACGCCGTCCTCGTTGCCGCCGCAGAGAGGACAGTGCAAGGACAGCTTGTGGGGCGTCTCGGCGGAGGACATGGACTCTAGCCCCGTGTCCGAATCCTCGTTGAGAGGATGGGAATGGCCGTCGATGTCGATCGAGTTGATGGAGGAATCATCACTCTCCGACAACGCCATCTGCGTGTTGGGCGTCGTGTCTGGACTCGAGGTGGGCGTCCGGGCGCCGCTGCTGCCCCCGCTGCCTTTGCTCCCCTTGCTGCGAGAACTCTGTGATTGCAGACGCCAAGTATTAGAGCAAGTCATAAAAGCAATTACAAAAACAGCAACAACATATATATCAATAACAACAACAACAACAACAGATATATCAATATCAAATCACGAAGAAAGCCAAACATTCGTGATAATAACAAACAATAATAACAACAACAAAATCTCACCGAAGGCGTTCCACCCGCCAGGTTGTTGGAGTTGTTGGTCGCCGTCGTCTTCTTGACCAGGCCGGCCGGGTCCTGGTTCGGCGGGCGGCCTCGGAGGACCTTCCTGACGATCTCGGTGAACCTCGTGCCAGGGGTCTCGAGCTTCGGGGGCTCCTGGACCTCGGCGATTCCCAGGAACTCGTTGCTCTTCCGGCGCAGGTCGTCGACGAGGGAACTCAGCAGCGAGGACCGTGTGCGCAGCTGAAGGGGAAAAATATGTTAAGAATGAAATATGTTTTATCCGTGTACATCTATCTGTTAAATATATCTGCAATTGGCACAAACAGCTCCATTACTATTAAACCTTTTCTACTGATCGTTTTTATTAGAATTAACTACATTTAGAAAGAAAGAAAGAAAACATGCCCAACGAAATCAGCACAATTGATACACTCAAAACATATGTTGAGGGCGTATTTCGCAGGGGCAGTCAAACACACACACGGACCTACACCTGATGCCCGTCGTGACTTACCTCTAACTTAGCGAATCTCTCGGCCTTGTAGCATGCCAATTCGGCGTTGATGAGTTTGGTGAGGATGAACTCTTTGAACTGGGGTCCCTTCTCGAACACTCCCGACGAAGGCAAAGTGGGGCCGAAGAAAGGTACGTCCGACCTTGCTGTTACACTCACGCGATAACTGGCGAGAGGAAGAACCAGAATCCCATTAATTCCTCCTTCTTAGGAAGATGCATTTCGATGCTTTTAAAATACACACGGCAATATGACCCAATTCAAGATAAGAAACGCAGACCAACAAAGCTTTAAAATGGAGACAGACTGAAATACACACGCCAATATGACCCAATTCAAGGCCAGAAACACAGAAACACAGAAGCGCTCCACCCACCTGGTGTTGGGCGTGCAGGGGTCGATCGGCTGGACCACAATGTAGGCGTGGAGGAAGTGCGAAGCGATCATGTCGGGGGCGAAGGGGGTGTTGCCCTCCTGGAAGACGATGGCCACGATGTCGTTGCCGATGTGCCTCTTGCGCTGCAGCTGCTGAGGGTCGTTCTCCGTGTAGGGCAACAGCGTGGACACGTGGAACATGACCTCCTTCTCGCGGAACACTTCGTAGACGCTCTCTTCGCCCGTCTGCCCGTACAGGGTATCCAGGCCGCCCTTGAATCTGCGAGAGAGAGTTCGGTTCGTTAGCGAGGTGTTCGTCACACAGACAAACGCACACAACTATATAAAATCTTGGACAATACCTTTGAGGTAAAACAGAAACAAACACTGGATATATACCACAGCCCTAACTAACCTCCAAATATCACCCCAAAACACAACATAACCTCTCTCCTTCACTCACCCTTCGTGGTCTCTCAACTTGACCCGCTGTCCCATGAGGCTGAGGAACTCCTCGAAGGCGGGCGAGTGCGTCTTGTTGCCGAACAGCTGCTCCTCGGTGGTCTGGCCGGCGCGCTGGTAGATGAGGCCGAACTTGAAGTGGTTGACGAGCACGTGTTCGTCGTAGGCCACGATCATTTCGGGCCCACGAGGCGTCACCACCGGCTGGAACCGCTCCACCGTCAGCTCCTCCTTCAGGCGCTGCGGGAGAAGAAAGGGGGGAGTTAAGAGGGGTCGGTAAGGAAAAATACATGAAATACATACATACAAACACGCATAAACATGAGGTTAATAAATTAAATTACAGAAAAAACGGGATCATAAAAAAAGGAAAAAAAAAAAAAAAAAAAAAAAAAAAAAAAACAGAAACAAGAACCAACCAAACAAAAATGAACGAACACTCAAAAAATTTAAATGATTAATTATAAGGTACAAATTGTTCCCAGCCGTTTCTTTGTTGTACCATCGCCAGAATTAGGAAAGTGTCCATTACGTATTCATTGAAAGGTGCCGTTCAAACGTTCACAGTCTTCTCCCGCGTGTAATGTTCATCGCCTAATGAACAGAGGCTTTCGGATCCTATAAATGTGAAAGCTGGAATCCACTCTGAGCCATAAATACGCTAGGCTTTTCCTCCGTGACGACGTAGGCCTATGCGATATCTGCCTGTGATGTTGTGTGGATTTGAGAACGATTATGTAAATTATCACACATTATATCTGATTATACTAAAGGTGGTGATGACTTCAGACTGATAATAAAACATGATGTTATTTCGTTTCTTAAAATAAAATATCATTTAAACTGTGCACGTGTAAAGTATGCGTGTCTCCCTCTTCTAATAGCACATAGACGTACATACACCACGTATGTGATAAATTACTGCCTCTTAGCACGCACAGATGGGGAGGTGGTGGGGACGGGGGGTGAGAAAAGTGGAGGAGGGAAGAGGGGAGAGAAGGGAGAGGGGAAAGGGAGGGGGAGAGAGAGGACGAGATTGAAATTATCAGGCAGAGCAGATTCAAAATCAATTACGCTATCGATCATTCCGAATCCGTCGACGCAATTGGGACGGGATTAAAATCTGAAAATCTGCCTCGCGCCCCATAATGATGTGTTTCAATGGATTCCTACTTCAATTCAACCCACCCCTCCTCCTTCCCCTCCCCCTCCCTACCTCCCCTACCTTCCCCTCCACCCTCCCCCCCCTAGAGGCTGACACCGACGCACAAACAATAACACTGCTATTAACAGTATAATGGGGGTTTCTCCTCTTAAAATGTAGGCCTCATCAGTATGCCCGGGAGATGTGAGTGTGATAATGAGCTTGGAACACGTGTGTGTGTCTGTGCGGGCGTGTGGGCGCGGTGTAGAGGCGGGTAGATCTACCTGTATGTTTATTTGGACGGTTTGTGTGTGTATATGCACTGGAATAAATTAATGAATCTATAAATGAATGTGTGTGTGTGTGTGTGTGTGTGTGTGTGTGTGTGTGTGTGTGTGTGTGTGTGTGTGTGTGTGTGTGTGTGTGTGTGTGTGTGTGTGTGTGTGTGTGTGTGTGTGTGTCCGCGTGTGCGTCTACCCGCGTACGTACACCCGACGGCAGCCCGCGGCCACCAGCAGCCGAGATCGGGTTTCCATCCAGACTCGCTGCTATTTTCGTCAATTCTCTCATCACTGCTTGCGCTGCCTTTGTTTATTGGCTTGCGTATGCCTTCCTCCCCCTGTGTACACTCCCGCCTGGCTTTAAGAGTCGGCCATTTCTTTTCGGCGGCGGTCAAGTGGTTCCTCAGCTCCACAGGACGGCCGAACAAGGACCTATTATCCCTGGGTATTATTAGCCTTGCTCCGGACACCGATTCCTCCGCCTTATTCCGTATGGTAATAATTCGCGCCGAAGGATGGCGATGACATAAGGGAAGGGAATTTAAAATCGGGGCAAAAGGGGATGCTTAAATAAAGTCAGATAGGGTCAGATTCACTATTTTTCTATTTTTCTGTCTGCCTTTTTGCCTGTCTCTCTAGGTCTCCACCTTTCTCCTTCCCTCTCTTCCGTCCCTCTCCTCCCTCTCACCTTCTCTCCCTCTCTCCCTTCTCCCTCTCCTCCCTCTCCTTCTCCCTTCCTCCCTTCCTCCAAGGAAAATTCTTCACAGTCCCCCAAACTTTCCCTCGCGCGAAACGCTAACACGACCCGACCATTAGGACACAGGCCTCGTCAGTGGAGAGAGAAAATGAAAAAAGAAAAAGAAAAAAAAGCAAAGAAACGAAAAAACAAAAAAAAAATATGAAGCAGTGATAGGCCTATAGTCACAAAGTGGGGCAAAGTCACTAAGAAAGCGGAAGAGGCCTAGTTGGGCACGGCAAAAACGCCCACCTCCTGCGTCAGGTCCTTGGCATGGGGGTAGGGGGTAGGGGGTGGGGGGAAGAGCGTGCCAAGGGAGAGGAGAGGAGGAAGAGTGAGGGGGGGGGTGGTGGTAGGGGGAAGGGAGGCTTTCTACGGAGGAACACGAAAATGGCGTCCGTTATAGGGGAAAAGGTGACCGGATTTTTACGTCACGCGGGAAGATCGACACGAAGATTGTGGGAGAAAGGGAAGATAGGGAGGGGGGGAGGGTAAGGGAGTGTAGGGAAGGGAATTGACAGAGGGGAGGGGGAAGGAGGGGCTGGTCAGGTAAGAAAAGTGGGGGGTCCCGGTACAGGTAACTAGGCTCCACTGGGGCGGGAGATGGACAAGGTAAGTTTGGGGAAAGGGGGGGGGAGGGGAAGGAGGGAAGGGGCAAGCGGTCACCCAATGTCCCCTGAAAGTATCAGCCCCATGCCAGGCACGAAGCAGGGGGTAGAAAGGCTAAGGAGAAATACGGAAAACTGGAAAGGGAATAGAAAAGAAACAAGAAGAATAACACCAAATAAAAAATATAATAAAAACACAAAATAACTGAATCATGGACAAGGAAAACGAGAAAAGGAGCCAAAAAAAAAAACTCCATAGGCCTGGATACCACCACTCAACGTGTCTCGAGGATGAGGAATACGAGGGAGTGAAATGAGGGAATGAGGAGGGCGTGAGGAAGGAAAAAGAGACGCGGAGAAGGGAGGAGGGAGGGAGGGAAGGGAGAGTCCAAGAAGGGTCTGGCGAGGGAGGGAGGGTTCTCTTGAGGGAGTAAGAGCCAGGTGGGGCATGGAGTGAAGAGTGAGAATTTCCAAGGTCTTTGGGTTTCCTTACTACTTTAATTAACTTATTTTTTTTTTTTGCTCTCCGCCATCCACCCCTCACACCTAAACAAATAATTCAAACCGTACTTTTTCCCCTAAAAATCAAATAAGCCAAATTAAGTGTGGAGGTAACCTGAACAGAGACAAAATCATAATCAAAATCTTAATAGCTTGGAATACCGTTGCTGCGATCAAAATAATGATAATGATAATAATAACATACACAGAAGTAAGGGAGGTTGCATAATACTTAATAATAATGCCTATAAACCAAGTAAGAAGTGGTCAGTAAGTCTGAATAGCGAAAACTAAGAAAATGCGAACAGACACGAATAAGAGGGTGTACATGAACAACAGAGAACAACAACAACAATGATAATAATAGCAACAAAATCAACACCATTCTCTCTGAAAACAACCCCCTCCCCTCCCCTTCCTTCTCCCCCCCCCCCCCCCCAAAAAAGAAGAAAAACCCCATCCAAACACTCTACCCCCAAAAAGGAACCGGAAATCAACCTCAGGGGAGCGAGCGAGCCAGCAACCGGACCCCCTCCCCTCCCCACCCCCTTCCCCCACCCCCGCCGCCACTCACGCAAGGCTAACTGGACGAACTGACAAAGTGACTTTTTTTTCTTTTGCAATATCTCTCCCAACACGCAAATGAGAAACGGCTTTGTAATGTTATTTTTTGTTGTTGTTATTGTTGTTTTAAGTGATTCTGCTTTAAGGGGGGAGGGAAGAGGAGAGGGGTGGAAAGAGGAGGATGATAAAAAATGAAGCCGGAAGGATATAATAATATAATAATATAATAATAATAATAATAATAATAATAATAATAATAATAATACAATAATAAATATAGATATGATAAACACCTTAGATAGAGATAAATAAATTAGATCGATAGAAACGAACACCACACAAAAGGAGAAAGGTTTCGGGGATGGATGGAAAGAAAGAAAAAAAGGGTTACAAAATCCTTTCGCCCGCGCGCCCGCCCACCGTCCTTCTGTGCGATGATGTCACCCTCGCCCTCGCCCTCGCCCTCACCCTCACCCTCACCCTCGAGGTCTAAACGGCTCAGCAGGCGGATCTATTTTATCTTGTACTCGAGAGGCACCTCCCACACCTCGCCCTCGGTGGGATGAGGAAACTGAGACTTTCCTAGGTAGGAGAGAGAGAGGAAGAGGGAAAAGGAGGAGGAGGAAGAGAGAGGGAAGAGGAGAGGGAGGGAGGGAGGAGAGAGGAGAGAGAGAGAGAGAGAGAGAGAGAGAGAGAGAGAGAGAGAGAGAGAGAGAGAGAGAGAGAGAGAGAGAGAGAGAGAGAGAGAGAGAGAGAGAGAGAGAGAGAGAGAGAGAGAGAGAGAGAGAGAGAGACAGAGAGACACAGAGAGAGAGAGACAGACAGACAGAGAGACAGATGCAGACACAAAGATCGAGACAGAGACACAAGCAAGAAAGAAAGAAGAGACAGGCAGACAGGCAGACAGACGGCTCGTCAACACGGCGGCGAGAGGACCCTATATTTACCCGCCGGGATCCAACGGACGTGACCGGCGGCCATCCGGAGCGCCCCGACTCCAAATCGCCCGCGAGCAGAATGAGGCAACGGGTTACGCGACTCACACCTGTGTTTTTTTTTTTTTTCTTGGTTTCCTTCGCCATCCGTAAACAAGCATCTTGACGCGTTTGTACTGGTCACTGCCCTCTCTCCTCCTCTCTTCTTCTTTCTCCTTTTCTTCTTTTTTATTTCTTTTTCTTTTCCCTTCTCCTTCTTTTTTCACCACCACCACCTCCTCTCTCCTCCTTCTTCTTCCTCCCCCTTCCTCCTAATACTCCCTGCGAGGGATATGAAGGAGGGGAAGGAGGAGGAGGGAAGGAGGCGAGAGGAGCAGCATTCGGGCGTTGGTGTCCTCGAGGTTCGTGCTTTGGTCGAATGCGTCATTTCGTGCACGCGGAAAAAGGGGAGAGGGAAGGCCGAGGAAGAAG